TTCAAAGTGCTTGTTTTGACATATAATGCCCTAAATGTCTTGGGCCCTGGATACCTGAAGGACCACCTCCTTCCATATGAACCTACCCGGCAATTAAGATCTAGCCAGGGGGCCCTTTTGAAAGAGCTGTCCCTTAAGGAGGTAAGAGGGACGGCTTGTAGACAAAGGGCCTTTTCAGCAGCTGCCCCCAGACTATGGAGTGCCCTTCCAACTGAAATTCGTCTGGCGCCCATGCTGATGACATTTCGGCACCAGGTCAAAACCTTCCTGTTCCAGAAGGCTTTTAATTGAAATAATATCAGCTGTGGGTCCTGATGGCAATTTTTAGAGTATATATTTTAATTGCCTTTTAATTGCTTTGTCTTTTTATTGTATTTTAAATGTTGTAAGCCGCCCAGAGACCTTTGGGTAGTGTGGGCGACATATAAGTTTAAAAAAAAACACATATATACATATACATATACATATAAACCTCCATTTTTTTGAACCTTATACCAGTATCTTTTATTTAATTACAATTTTTTACCTTGATTACAAAATCTATTAATTAATCCCTGCCAGTACTTAAGATCTTCTTCTTCTAATTGTATTGGGAGCACCCTGAATAAAATAACCTTTGAATCAACTGAAAAACAAACAGAAAAAAAAATACTGCACAAAATATGCTCATTCCTGCATTATCTAGTTAACACTTGAATTTGAAAAGGTACAAGGTCAGCATCGTGTTAGCATTTGTATCCTGTACAATTTAGATATGCCTCTAAGACATGCTGGAAATTGATGACTATGCAATGACCCTCTGATTCATAGGAGAAAAATGAAACTTTCATCCTACTTCCAGAGAGGTTTATACTATTTAGAACATATGTTTAAGTGATTAACGCATTAGCATAATTGAAAAGAAAGTAGCAAAAACAGAATGCTTTGTAAAAAAAAAAAAAAGAGTAAGGATAACATCAACAGAGATTGACTCGGTCATATTCTGTTCTGCCACTGACATTTATCTGTGTTTTTTCTGTTCTTTCTATCTCCCTTCCAATTATCCATGTTTTATTTTCTTCCTCTTTTGTCAAAAGGATGCTCATGGATTATCTCAATTTTCCCCTCACAAATGATACTAAAGCGGAAGTTCAAGCGCCCTTTTCTACTTCAGTTGAGAGGACACATTCCCTTTCTGACACTAGAAGAAATTAATTTTATTTTCTTATTTGGGTATAAATACCCCTGGATCCAGTTTTATTAAAGGCTAAGCAAGGGATAAATCCACTGAACAGAACTTACAGTTAGGGTATATGTAAAAACATCCCTGCCATGGTTTTCCTTCAGCTTTGCTCAACACTTTAGGGCTTACCTTTTTTATTACTTTGACACCACGTGCTTTGCTTCCCAAAGAGAAAAATGATATGGCATTTGTCAGGACATAATCCAGCCCTATTCTGAGAGGAAGAGGTGCCAACGCAAGAACACAGGATTGTTCTTGCACTCTTCACTGCAGCAGAGCTTGAAAAAGGAACTGCTGGGCCACCAAATGAGTGAACCGCAACCTAGGCATACAAGGACAAGAAACAAACCCACCATGCCTAGCTACTTTTGTGAGAGTAGAAGTACAGTGGTGCCTCGCATAGCGATTGCTTTGGATAACAATGAAATTGCTTTGCGATGAAGATTTCGCAATCGCTTTTGCAATCGCTTTCCGATGTTCCCTATGGGGGAATTTCGCTTTGCGATGATCGGTTCCCCTGCTTGGGGAACTGATCATGGCAAAGCAATGCTTTTAAAACAGCTGATCGGTGCCGTAAGCAAGGCTTTTTAAACAGCTGATATGTAGAAATCTACCCCCCCTGGTCTGAACAGGGTGACTCCTCTTACCCACTCTCGTGGCATATTAGTTATTTATCAGCTACATCTATAAACTGCCAATGTCTCTGTGAACTCAAGGCAGTGTACATCACTCAGCTGTCATCACCATTTTATCATCATAACTGTGTGAAGCAGATCCAGCATAGGGGGAGAATTAGGAAAGTGGCAGGCACAAGTTCACTCAGTGGCCAAAATCCTGTTGCTTAGTGTAGAAATTGCACTAAAGTAGATCCACTGAACCAATAGGGATTTAGTGAGTCAACACCTTCATGCGTTCCACTAAAGGAAGTCTATCAGGGAGTTGATTCACCAAACTCCCATTGACTCAACTTTGCGTTCCATTGATTCGGTAGGTCTACTCTATCTGCACCTTACTATGCTAAAGGAAGTTTATCAGGGTGTTGATTCACCAAACTCCCATTGACTCAACTGAGATTTACTATGCTGAACAACAAGATTTTGGCCAGTGAGTTCTGTGGCTTTCTGGAGGCTAAAAACTGGATCTCCCACGCATTTTTGTAACAGCCTCACCACTATACTCCCTCCTATGGAAAGAGGGAGAAGTATGGCTTCTTCTCAACTACAGCCAGTGATTGAAACTTGGATATTTGTGTAGTGAGTATATGATGTTCTACTTGGGTCTACACCTAAGCATGGAACCCTTCTTGATCATATGGTTCCCATCAAGGGAAAATACCAAGGTATCCCCTTCAGTCTACTGTCTTTCTGTTCCTGTGGCTGTGTGGTGATGGAGTTGCCTTCATTATCTCATGGCTTTCGTTTCTAGGCCTTGTAGAAACGAAAGCCATGAGATAATGAAGTAATCTCATGGCTTTAGTTTCTAAAGTAATTGCTGCTAGCTGAGCAACCAAAAGGAAAGTTCCATTTTGTAATGGTGGTTTCCATATTCAACTTGTGTCATTTCCTTCCATTGTGTAGCAGTCCTTCAACATGCTACAGAAAACTCATTTGGAAAATGAATTATCATAATGAATCCAAATCTTTCTTATGAATAGAAACCTCTTTATTAGCCAAATATTCTTCCAAACACAATGATTCTGATCGAACTGCATTATTTAGATGCTCTGATGAATATCTGTGGCATCCTTTCTCACAGCTGAACTTCTTGGTTTTTCCATGCTTTTCTCCCTTCCACAGGGCTATTAGATAGGCTGCACATTATGAGAGGAATGTCAATCCTTTTTTCCTCCATTTGGTAGATATCAAGGGAGAGTGGTGTCTTGGGGGAGCAGAGACACCTATTTAATGGAACAGCCTCTCCTTGAAATGACTGTCAGGCTCCCAACGGCTGGCTGACTGGTGTTATTTCAGTTACTTATGTTGTGCCCATTACTTAGTTTCTAGGCTCTGGGAATATGTCCTGATCTAAATGATCAATGTAGAGATGGGATATTCATATACCAGAGGAGACGAATACGAATATTGCCACCTCAGGTGGCCAGGCGCTTTGGACCCACACTCAGAACTAGCTGGTCCACTTACCACTTGCGCCGTGGCCTGCACGGCCCTTGTTGTTTATGCCATGCTGACTGGCACTTCTCCACTCCCTGTGGTGCTTACCACTCAGCCTCTGAGCAGGGAGACTCATCATCCTGCCTCCTCACCGGTGGACAGCAGTACAAGGAGGTGGGGAAGGGCCAGTCGGGCTACGTCTGTGATTGGCACAGTGTGAACAACAATGGTTGTGCGTGCTGCGACTAGTAAGTTAATTGGCCGGTTCTGGGGGATGAGTCCGAAGGGGCCCAGCCACTTTTGGCCGTGATAGTCGTATTCGTTTCCTCCAGGAGAATGGTAATCCCATTTCTAGAGCAATGCAATGAAGTAATAAAAATAACATAAATAGTGAGAAACTTCCCTTGCCCCTGCTACCTTAATTCCTCTCCCTTTTATTTGTTCTATGATCATTCTTCCTTTTCAACCTCTGGTGTCTGTTAAGAATTCATTTAAGAGTGGTTCAGAATTTATACAGGAAGGTTTGTTAAGAGTGGTTCAGAATTTATACAGGAAGACAAACAGCAGAACAATAAATCATACACTTCTCATTAGTATGTAGACAAAACTGTTACCTTTGCATATCTCAAACATTTGTTAGCGCAACCTCTTTTCATTGTTTCGTGAAAGACTTTGATTTTTCGAATTATTCTGCCCAGATCAGGCCACTAGTAAGTCTTTTGTTCAGGGCTACTATCAACGCTGTTGAAATATTTTAAATAGCAATACCGGTGAACCAAATAATGCAACAAGTATTACTGAACACTTGCCAATTGCATCTGGTAAGGTGTGTTTTTGGCTCATTCTTCCTACCCAGTTTTGTTTTCTAAAATGCTGCTGCAAGGTAAGTCATTAGAATCTGTACAGGATTTTTTAAAAATGGTTTTTGGTCCTTGATGCATCTGGCGACAACTCTCTTGTTCCAGTGAATCAGTTCATATCTTCCTGCAGCAAATGACCTTTTAAATACATGGGGGAAACAACTAAAAAGTGTATGTATATATGGATGGCTACTACCATCTCATGGATTATATCTTGAGTAACAGTGTCTAGGGGCCAAGCAACCTGGGATCCTACACATCACTCTAATGTACTGTGCTAACAGATAACAGTACTCATAGGTATCAGCTCTGAGTATTAGTAGCTGCCTCTTTTAGACAACAATGCATGATGAAAAGAGCGTCCAAGAAATACAGAGTTGGTGCAGCCTTAACAGTGATTTCCTTTTGTTCAAAAGGCGAGGATATCTCATCCACACAAAGGTATCTTTCATTAGTCAAACGTGAAGCATTTTTTTAGTCTGTTAAACTGTAATAAATTAGTTGGTTAAAAGAGTCATATGAAAATGCAAACATTCAAGGATAATTAATTGGATGCAGTACGGACTGCTACACTAGCCAGAGGTGAAATGTAAGCCTAGAACGGGCTAACATTTTTGCCCCCAATTCAATTTTCACCAAAGTTATAGTGTCAATTGGCCAGTTTCTATCAAGAGAAAACAGAAAGAGAAGCCACAACCATTTCATTTTTTTATAAAACGCCTTTTTGGGCAACTTACCATCTTAAAAAGAAGAGGTACGTCTCAGCAAATTTAAGTCACCTCTTTTCCACCACCAAATCAAACTCACCTAGCTCAGGAGGCAGCACAGTAAGACGGTTCCCCTGGATATGAAGTTCTTTAAGTTGACTGAGTTCACCAATCTCCTTGGGGAGGGATATCAGGTCATTGTCCCTAAGGCTAAGCTTTAAACAAAATGGAGGGTAGGGGACAGAGAAAAGCGAGGAGAGACAGACAGAAACACACACAGAGTTATCAGAACCATTCTGGGCTGAAAGAAATCAAGTCAAAATCTGTAATAAATATCTTACCTAACTGTAATACAGAGCTTTTTCTTTCTGTTACTATATCCTAGCCTAAAACTTCAGTTCCTCCTATTTTGTAACAAGTGGCTGCTGATTAACAAGAGCTACGCCATGTGTACCTTCTTCTTTCAAAACCACCCCCTACGTCTTGCAAATTGACTTGATTCTACTCTTACAAGGACCGCAAAAGTGAATTGATTTTTTTTCCCCAAGAATTTAGATAAATTACTTACTATCTGCAACTTTGTGAGCTTCCCAATATCGGGTGGCAGGATTTCAAAATCGTTGTCACTTAGATAGAGTGCACGCAGGGTGGCTGCAAATTAAACAGCAATATATAAACAGGGTGGCATACAACAGAACCATTTGAGGCCTGATCAATAAAAAAGTGTCAGGTTTGATTAATAACCCTGACTTGGTGAAAAGCCTTTGACATACCCAAGGCTCACAATAATAACAAGCAGGTCAAACCTAGATTTACTGGCTTATTGTAGTCTTGGTCTGCTCAGGAAAACATCTATATCCAAAAAGAGTGACACAATTAACAATTCCTGTAACATTACGTTCTGGCAGGTTGTGGCACACAGTTGCAATACTAACCTGCCAGAACAGAAGCCACTACAGTTTATCACTTCCAATTACTAGTCATTATCTTATTTTGCATCCATAAACCTCCCTTAAAACCTCTGGATGGATTTATCCTTTTGCTTCTCTTCTGGTTGTGCAAAGAAAACCAAACAGAACATTCAAGAACCTGAAGATTTGTGAACATTCTATACTGATCTTCTTTGTATTCATAAAGAAAAAAAGAACAAAGTCTGAACTAAGAGAAATACAGGTGAGGTAACTAGAGATTTAACTGATTTTAATTATTTCCCCCCTTAGGGCACCAAAATGGTATGGCTCATAAACATGCTTCAACTTTCATAGGCACACAGCGTAAGGAGACCAATAGAAACAGTGGGGAGGGAGGTTATTTTTATTATGGAAAGGTGCTCTTAAACAGACAAAATAGATATTAGTTTGATTCCACTTTAACTGTCATGAGTCTATGCTACGGGAATTTTAGAATCTGTAGTCTGGTGATGTACTTAGAACTCTCTGCTTACAACAGGGAGGTACAGTACAGCTTGCTAGCACCAAACTACAAATCCCAGAATTCCATGAGATTAAGCCATGATATCAAAGAGATAACTCCATACTATAGCGAAATATTCAATTTACAAAGAAGGGACCAAGATTAAGACATTGAAGGAAAATAGAAAGCGGTTTCACCTTGCCATGGAATAGCATATAGAAATGGGACACACTGCAAGCTGATTTATCATCTAAAATGATGGACACGTCATACCAGCATAACATCTGCATCTACAATATTCCAGGAATAAATAAAAGATACTAGATCCATAGAGAGGTATGTGGCTTCTCCCTCAACCTTTCTCAAATGTTTAGATAGCTATCTTGCAATGTTATAAAATAACTCTGGGTGCATAACAAATCAGGGCACTAAGGAGTGTACCCTCCTTCTTTCTATAGTAATCAGATTTCCAATTCACCTATGAGTTTGTATTTTTTTTTGAAAGGAAAGGGAAAGAGTGCAGAAATACGACATTAAGAAAGGACCGACAATGGACTATCGTGTATTAAAGAGTGGTATCAGGATTCCTTCACTCATACTATGATTAAAAATACATGTGTCATTCCTAAGTAAATGGGGAAGCAGCTGCAGGGTTTCTGGTTAAAATTTATCATCTTTCAGTTTGCTCAATTTGTTTCAGCTGAATTCTCAAATTGCTTAAAGGGTTTTGAATGTCTTAAAAGCATTGAAATTGTTTAAATTCTTGTAATGTCATTTTACTGACTGTGCCCTACCCTGATATCTGTTGTTAGAGACTAGGCTAGAAACATTTAAACACACACACACACACTCACACTCACACACACACACACACACACACTTCTTACAGAAAAGTCATTTAATATAAATGACCGTATTTTTCCATGTATAAGACTATACTTTTGTCTAAAATTTTTAGACTAAAAATTGAGGGTTGTCTTATACACGGAAGTAAGCTGAGGAGAATACAAAAACAAGTGTAGGGGAAAGCAGGGATCAAATTGTTCCTGCAGGGCTTTGATCTCTGCTTTCCTCTTCACTTGCTAATCCTTAGCAAAAAGAAAGCTGGGATCAAAGCGCTGCAGGATCGCTTTGATCCCTGCTTTCCCCTCTGCTTGCTAAGTCCCATTGGGCTTAATAAAAGGAGGTGGAAAAGAAACAAAGCAATCCTGTGGCTGTATAAAGGGGAAAGGGATCAAAATGATTGTGCAGTTGTGGGATTGCTTTGATCCCTTTCCCCCCTACAGATTTCTTAATTTTGGGTTAGAAAAGTGGGGGCGTCTTATACATAGAAAAATACAATACACAGATCCAAACGGACAGCTTATTCCTAAAATACATTTCACTTATATCCTGTCATATTTATATGCTCAAAACCTAAGGCAGCATGCTTGGGAACCTTATCTCCTGGCACTACTCACTTTCCAGTTTTCTTTTGGGGAGGCACAGGGGAACATTTTCCACTTCCTTTTTAGGAGAGGAGGGGGGGAGAGACTGGACTGGAAACAGTGCTAATTATCTTCAGTGCCAAAATTGCTAGTTACGGCACTCTATGAAAAATTGTAGGTGCTGAGGCCTATGCATTGACCTGAAGAATTCCATGTACTGATCCAAGACCTGATTCTTAAACCAGATAATGGCTTGTTTCCTCCCTCTCGCTCTCTCACACATACATACACACCTTCCTTAACCATCCCAAGGGGTGGCAGCATTTCCTAAAGTTTCAGCTCAACATAAAACTGAACAACATTCAAGGAAATATGACCAAGGCCGCACCTCAAAGAACGCTCTCATGGCTATCCACTTACTCCTACAAATATAAACTGACTGTAGATCAAAAGATACAGATTGCCTAGCTATGTAGAAATATTCAAGGCTGCTCACAGAAGAGGCATATATTTCAAATCCTGTTTTTTTTTTAATTTTTATTCTCAAATAAATTTTACCCGCAGAGAGTAAAACAACTTTTCAGGGTGATTTAAAGTATTTTTAGAAAACAGTTTCTTACTTAGATAGAAGAAGTTTCCAGGCAGGGATTTTTCATTTAAGTTATTATAAGTCAAGTCTAGAACTTCCAAAGCTGGTAAGGAGCCAAATCCTCGTGGCAAAGTGTTGAGTCTGTTCATCCTAATGATAACAAAAGACTGTAAAGGCATTGTTTGGGGTACCAAGGTAGCAAAAATTTTTATGCATCATATGTTGCTTATGTTTCCCCCATATTAAAATTCACACAGACTGTATTACCTGTTGTCTGGATGCTGCCTGACAAGGAAAAAATAAAATAATCTACACATAATTAGTTTGGTAATGAGGGAAAAAAATACTACAGTGGTGTCCTGCAAGACGATGTTAATTCATTCTGCAAAAATCACTGTTTTGTGAAAACATCGTCTTGTGAAATGCGGTTCCCCATTGGAATGCACTGATATCCATTTAATGTGTTCCAATGGGCAAAATCGTTATTGTTTTACGGAAATCACCCATAGGAAAACCGTTTTGTGAAGCGTGAATCAGCTGTCAAAATCGCTATCTTGCGAAAAACAGTCCCAAAAAAACATCTTGCGACGGACCAAAACATCATCCAATGAAAATCGCCCATAGGAAACGCCACTTTGCGAAGCACTATAGCGATTGCAAAAACTCATTGTCTAGTGAATGAACCGTTTTGCGAGGTAATCGTCTAGCGGGGCACCACTGTATCTGTAATGCATGAAGGAGACTCTTGTGAATCCTTGCAGGAAATCTAAGCAACTGGCCAGGAAATGATACACACCCAAGGTTCAAGTGTTTCAGCTTCTGAAGGCTGCTTATCTGAGTTGGCAATTCCTCGATCTGATTGTTGAAAAAATTCAGTACCTCTAAATTTCTTAGGTCAGCAATGTTTGGAGGCACCGCTGTAAGGAGAGAAAAAAAGCTGTTTGAAAGATGTTACGACTGATAAAACATATCACACACCTTTTTACATATCAGAAATACTGGTCAAAATGCTACTGGTGCTTGTGCAAGATTCACGTGACTTGCTGCTGATAATTGTGGCTAATATATTGTACGTACTTGGTCATGGAACCAACTGCACAATTGAGATGTATCTCGGCACCTCATCAATTAGTCACATTTACCTGTGACAAGTTACACAAACCTTAAGCAAACATAAAAAAAAATAATAATTCTGGCCATTATCTAGAAAGTGTCAGGAAACTTCAGCAGGTCCAAAATGAAGCTGCAAGACTGCTGACTGGGGCTGGTTACAGGGATCATATAATCCCCCCGTTAGATCAGCTCCACTAGCTGCCGATCAGTTTCCAGGAACAATTTAAAGTGCTGGTTTAAACCTATAAAGCCCTAAATGGCCTGGCTCCAAGCTATCTCAAAGACCTTATCTCCCATTATAAGCCAGCTCAGGTGTTATCATCAACAGAGGCCTTTCTCTCGGTCCTGCCATGTTGGGGGACACAGGAGAGGGCCTTTTCTGTTGCTGCACCCAGATACAGTGGTACCTCGCTTAACGAGTGCACCGTTTAACAATGAATCCGCATAGCGACACATTTTTTGCGATCGCATTGAGATGTTTTCCATTTTTGTGTTTTCCATTTCTCAGAGTGGCATTTTAAAAATATATACTATAATACATGTTGTTCTTAGCTTTAATATTGTCTTGTAATGATCTAAGATGCCACTTTATACTAATTGTTCTTGGCTTTAAATGCCGTCTTTTAATGTTGTTAACCACAATTGCATACACATTGTTTTCAACTTTAAAAATTGTCTTTCAAGGTTATAAGCCGTGTTGGGTCCTTTTCAAGGAGAAAGGCAGGGTAACATTTAAAAAAAAAATAAAATAAATACTCTCCTCACTACATCAGACCAATTTAAAAGAACAAACTATTCCAAATGAGAATTAAGAATAAATTTCCAGATTGTGCAGACTCTGGATTTATTTACAGAACTGAATGCTGCTTCTTGTGCCACTCTAGTGAGGGCAGAGGTTTTGTATCAAGGACCTTTCAAATAAAGTCTCCCATCTGTTGAGCAGTATCTGCAAATTTCAATACCTTTTAGGTCAAACCCTTCAATGTTTTTAGTTCTTCTAAACAGCATATACAACATAAGGACAAAACTTCACTTTTGGTCCATTTCCAATGACAATTCAAAATACTCATTTCATTTTTAAAGCTATAATTTGATTAGAAATCCATTTATCTTGTTAGGCAGAAGTATCACTATATTTTAAGCTTCAAGGGTGGATGGTGATGGAGTGGATTTTGCTGGTTGTTTTTTAAACAAAATGTATATTGTTTAAATTGGTTACATGCATTATTAGTTAAATTAGTCAGACATCTGATGAAATGCTATCATAAATTCTGCAATGGAAAGATTAACCATTTAAAACAGTCTAGAAGATTTTCGTGAAAAACACTTAGAGGATTTAGAAACTTTACTAGTCATTAGTAGTCATTGCAATGATCTCAAATTAGTCTTTGACTATACAACTCAAAATTGGGAAAGGAGTACGACAAGGCTGTATATTGTCTCCCTGCTTATTCAACTTCTTTGCAGAATACATCATGCGAAAGGCTGGACTGGATGAATCCCAAGCT